AATCCTGTAGGACTTCACACTTCTGGGTTTTCTCCTCTGGAAACCAGGCTGTGCAGACAGGGGCGCTGACTTGGCTCTTCCTGCCTTTCCTCCTATCTGTGGGGAGATAGGGAGCCTGGTAGGTGAGGGCTTCATGGGCGCCATGTTGGAGGAAAGACATTGCCCGGGCCTTAGAGGGCTTATGTACACATTCTTCTTGGGGCAGGAAGGACGTGGAGGGGGCATAGTTGCTGTCTTTGGGGCTGCCTGGGGGAAGAGGGTTTAGCTAGGCACAGGGGGGCAGGTGTAGACCCCCCAGGTCAGGAGAATCTTCCTAACAACGGCCATGAGCACCAAGTCAACAAACATTTATTATGCACTTTACTGTGTGCTAGGCACTGGGAGTAGGAAGGGCTTCCTCAGAAGGTAATGAGTTTCCTGCCACTGGAGGTCTGTGAACACAGGCTGGGGATTCTTGGTTCGGCAGGGCAGTGGTCTTGATGCCTCTGAAGACCCTCTCAACTCTGGAGTTAGTGATTTTCCTTCTGGGCTCGTTGGATGGGGGGCTGCTGAGGGGATTGCCCAGGATGGGGGTGGCAGTCATAGCAGGAGTGAGCAGGAGGTGTGTGTGGTGGGGCAGGGGTAAGGGAGGAAGCTGAACCCCCGTCCCAAGAGCTGCTGGCCAGGCCTTCTGAGCCCTGGGAGGCATCAGGTGTCATCATCATCTCTGTCCTCCCTTGGCTTGCTGGGCCAGACTGGGGAATTCTTTTGAAGTTGGGGGACCCTCAGTCCCAATGGCTGCCTTCCTCAGCATCGCCAGCCCCGGCTGGCAGGGTCCCACCCCCCTTTCCTAGAGGAGCAGCTGCAATCGGGCTGCGTTGTCCCCCCAAACTGCACCCAAGGCTGACGGAGCCGTGAAGGAGGGGCTGCTTGGCAGCGGGACTGACTGGCTGCTGAGAGCTAGGCCTGAATGAAATAGTCTGTCTGTTTGTTTCGCGCCCTGATGGGGACCATCTGCAGTGTGAGCTGGGGGGAGTGCCGGGGCTCAGGGTCTGTTTGAGGGAGACAGTCCTCAGGGTGGGGGGGGCTTAGGTTCTCTTGGGACCTGGCTCCTGCATGTTCCACCATTTTTGTTTGCCACAGGGGCAGGGGGAGAACAGGCATAGCTCTGGGCCTCTAGGAACGCTTGGTTTGACCTCATTAAAGCAACTCTCAGCCCAGGCAGGGACCTGGTGTGTCTGTGCTAGGGAGAAAGAGCTTCCAGGCCCCATGGGAAGCAAGAGGCCTGGAGGTAAGTATTGTTATCCCCATTTTACAGGAGGGGAAGCTGAGGCTGAGAGGTTAGGTAACCTTCCCCACCATACAGCTAATAAACATCCGCCTAAGGCAGGATTCAGATTCCAGTCTGCTGGACTCTAGACCCAGCTCTCGGTCCACTGTGCCATCTAGGTCACGTAACTACTCTGAACCTCGGTCCCCTATTCTATAAAAAGAGGGGCTTGGACCAGATGGACCCCCCAGGTCCCCTGCAGCTCCAAAGCTCAGAGTCTCCGTAACTGGGGCCTGGTGACTGGAAGGATAGTGGAGCCTTCAACAGACACAGGGAGTGAGGAAAGCCTGTGATCTGATAGTTCCACATGGACCATGACCCTGAGTGGCCAAGGGCCCATCGAGGCGGGAGATGTCCGGTGGCACCTGGAGTGCTGCTGATGTCATGATTTGGGAGCCGTCTGCATGGAAGTCCTCCATGAAGCCGAGGGAGGAGGGGGCCACAGGGCAGGGCTCTCAGGGCATGGGAGGAAGGTGAAGGAAAGATGAAGGAGAGGCACAGAATGAGCAGGGGCTGAACTAGGCTGTGGCCCCTAGCCAAGGGTGGGGGGGGGGGCCAGAGGCTGATGGGGTCCAACAAGTCCTTGGAGACGGAGGAGAGGGAGAAGAAGGGAATGGGACAGCCGAGCCGCCTGTCAGCCCTCAGAAGGTCACTAGAATGTCTTCAGCTGAGGGAGGGGCAGGCCCAGAAATCTGAGAGGGAGCCAGAGGCTGAGGCCTGACTAGCTGAGTGGGAGGCGAGGAAGCGGAGGCGCCTTTTCCACAAGTTTAGCCATGAAGAGACACAGAAAAGACGAAAGTCAGGGCGAACTGCAGGGCCGAACACAGGCTTTTTTTTAGAAGCGAAATCAGAGCCAAGTATTTCTGCCTCCTCTCCATGGCCTGTTATCATCCCACCCTCCCCCCAGCCCTCATCCTCACCCTTCTTTGATCCTCCGCCTTTCCCCAATCTAGCTAAAAACTGCCAAAGCCGCTGTGTTGAACTTGGCTGATGTCACAGCCTGGGCTCCCACGGCAACCTGGTGGCTGCCATGATTCCTCCGGGGCTGGGCCGGCCTGCTCTCCGGCTGCTTCCCAGGCTTGACAGCCCCAGCTGGCTGGGGAGCTCCCCAGGCCCTCCACAGCCACCTCCCCCTCATCCCCCTCCTGGACTTGTTTGGGTTGTCAGAATCTCATCCTCCCAACTCCCCAGTGGGGGGTTCTGAGGCCGTGGGAGCCTGAGGACTTTCTTCTCTGCTTTCTCGGGAATCTGCTCCTACTCCACCCCCAAATCGAGGGGAAGGGTCGTTTTGTCTTGGAGCCCCCTGCCCCTCCCTCTGCCTCGAGGAACGTCCCCTCTCTGGGCTCTCCAGGGGAGGTCTGTTCCAGCTCTGACCTCCCGAGGCTCTGGATTTTCCAGCATTTTTGACATGGTCCCAGCTGCCGACGAAAGGTCTCTTCTTTGGGGGCCCTAAAGGCCCTTAGCTGACTATTGGAACCATCCCCTTCGTCTCTGGGAAGAGGGCTACTTTCCCAGGAACTCAGCTTCTGGTTCCGGATGGTGTGGGGAAGTTTTTTGGCTCCTGTTAGGCTGACGCTCTCCCCGTTTGCTCCAGGAGGTAGGGGGAGGTGTGAGTTGTGGACAGACAGACCAGGCTGCCCGTGGTCTGGGAGGAGCTGAGACCTGATCCTACATCTTTGTCAAACCACATTTGTTGGGAAATGAGGCATGTTCATGTCCGTGGTTTGGACAACTCCATTAACCTGGAAAAAAAAGGCCTCTAGGAGTGAGGAGCTGGGCCTTGAGAGTGGAGGGGGCAGAGGGCAGGGCCTGAGTCCATCCCTGCCCTTGGGAGGCCTCTTAGAATGCTGTCCTTTCATGCTCCCCATAGACCAGGCCCCCCTTGACCGGGTACCCATCTGTGTGAGTGTGGGCTTGTCAGGGCAAGTATCGTATTAACTGAGCTGGGTTGATAATGGTGAGGCCAGAGCAGGAACTGAAGGCCCTTTCAGCATCCACGAGCCCTCTGGGACTTTTCAGGACTTTCCAGGACCTGGGAAGGTTAGGAGGGAGTGTTGAGCTCAGGGGCACTGGGTGAACTAGGGGGGAGGGGGCATTGAAAACGTCTGATCAGCGGCTGCCGCGGAAACTGCTGGAGAGACGGGGACTGATCTCCACTTGGAGGCCAACGCTGACCAGGGCTGGGTGACGCCCCTGCCCCAGCCCACCCCGAGCATCCAGCCTCCAGCCACAGCTGCTCCTGCCTCTCCACCCCAAAAAGTCCCCCAGACATTTTGGGAGGGGGTGTTGCCTGGGAACAGCTGCTGCCCCCATTAGCGCTAGCATCCTGGGCAGCTTCCAGAAACAGCCATGGCAAAGATGATATCTAGCACCTTCTTGGGCAAAGGGAAGGAATGTGCCAGGCAAGGAGGAGGAAGCTGGGTTCCTGCCTGTAAAGGAGGAGGCTCCTCCCCTCTGGCCTGGACTTTCACCTCTTAACTGTCCCCTGGCCCTCTGACCTGCCCTCCCCCACCTCTCCTTTACCCAGAAGGTTCCTACATGGTTTCTATGGCCGTCCTTCAACGAACCCTCTAGAGGGAGCTTCCCACAGTTCTAGAGGCCAAGCCTACCTTCTTTATGCCTCAGCCCATGAGGATGAATTGAAGGCATTGAGGGTAGCTAGCCTCAAGAAGAGACTTGGTGAAGTTCTCTGAAGGACTGTCACAGGGAAAAGGTCTTAGTGTGTTCTGCTGGACCCTGGGGGGCAGCAGCAGAGAGGCTGATTCAGGCTCGAGGTCATGAAGAACTTCCCTCAATGAGAATGGGCTACCTTGGGAAGTAGTGAGCTTCCCGTCCAGGGAGGTAGTGAGCTTCTCATTCAGGGAGGTCTTCACAAGCTGGTTGATGATCTGGTGGTGGTGTTGCTGAAGCTATTTGTTCAGGTGTGGATTGGATGGGCTCATTGGGCTGTGAGACCCCATGATTCTTCCTGGAACTGGGGGGTGGGGTGGGGGGAAGCTACGTGGTTCAGTGGGAACGAGCCACATGCTACGATAGAGTAAGCCAGGAGATGTGGGTTCAGATCCTGGCTCTGTTACCACCTGCATGACCTCGGGCAGGGTCTCTGTGTACTTCAATTTCTTCTTGTAAAATAAGGGGGTTGAGGCTGTGTTCTCTGAGTCCCTTCCCCCTCTGCCATCCTGGGGTTCCATTAAGCGCCCTGGCTGGTGATGTGGGTAATTAGCCATTGTGCGCTCTCCTCTCACCTTCCCCTGTGCCCTGGGCATGGCAGGGATGATTTCTAGGATGTGTAGGTGTAGAATCTGGGCCCCAGTGTAGCCTGGTTTGGGGTGGGGTTGGGGAAATGAGCAGTGGCATCACTTGGAGTGCTGAGCATCTAGCATTCACTGGATGGCAAGGACCCTGGCTTCTTCCTGCCCAAAAGCTTTCACTTCTAGCCACCAGGGGCTTTGTTCTGTGAGAACACATAGTTATTTAGGAAGCCATCAGGGAAACAAAATTCAGTTCTGTAGCCGTCTTGGCTGGAACTGTGGTCATTCTGGGAAGTGCAGGGGGCCTTTCACCGAGGGTGGGACATGGGCCTGAACCTCGGCATGCCCCCCAACCCCCATGTCAGAAGAACGTCGGGAACCTGCCATTCATATTCTCTTTCTCTCTCTCTCTCTCTCTATTTCCCTCATTGGTTTTGTAGATAATTGCCAAGCCCAGCGGGAGTCAGACCCAGCCCAAGACGGGGGCTCAGGCCGGGGCCATGCGGGACAGGCTGTAAGTGAGACATTTTGAATGAAGGGGGCTTGTTGTGGGCCTGCTGTGAGGGCAAGGGCACGTTGGCCTGTGAGCCCTGGCTGCTCTTCCTGTCCTCGCCTTCGGGGCAGGGGCGGAAGGTGGCAGGGTACAGTGGTCAGAGCTCACAGGACCCTGGCTTGAACCTGAGCTCTGCCACTTTCTCTTTTGTGGACTCAGTTTCCTCATCTATAAAAGAAGCATTTGGAACAAGGCGGTTATAGGATTAGGAATCTAGAACTGGAAGGGGCCTCAGAGGCCATCTGGTAATCTTACAGATGAAGACTGAGGCCCGGGTAGCGCTGACCCTAAATTCATGGCTTGCTCAAGGTCCCACAGGTGTAGTAAGCATCAGAAAGTGACCTCCAAGTCACTGCTCACCCTAAATTGAGGGGACCATGTTCCTCCTGCAGAGCACGGCTGGTGTCCACTTGGGAGGCAAGGTAAGGTGAGCAGCTGAAGCTCATTTTGCCTGAGGCAGGAGTAGGTTTGGAATGAAATGGCATCGATTGAAAAGTGTTTCTTACGCGTCCAGGAGGGCAGCTAGGGGGCACCGCAGTGGATTGCACTGGAGTGCACCAGGCCTTGAGTCAGGAAGACTCACCATCCTGAGTCCAAATCTGGCCTCAGACACTAGCTGCGTGACCCTGGCCAAGTCACTTAACACTGTTTGCCTCAGTTTCCTCATCTGTAAGATGATCTGGAGAAGGAAATGGCAAGCCCCTCTGGTATCTTTGCCAAGAAAACCCCCAGCAGGGTCATGCAGAGTCAGACATGACTGCAGTGACTGAACAATAACGGATGTGTCCAGTGTCATGCTGAGTGCTTGGAGATACAAAGAGACAATCGAAAGGATCTGTGCTCTCGAGGAGCAGATGAGAGGAGGCAATCCATAGAGGAAGGCCAGCCGCAGGGCAGATGGAAAGGCCCTGGAGTCCGCAGAGCACAGCTGGAGGGCCTGTGCTCTCGCCCAGGTGACCCTAGGATCCAGCAGCAGGCAGAGCAGAGGGTGATATGCCCAGGGGCTGGAGGGCACAGCAGCAGAGCAGATGGAAAGGCCCAGTGGTGTAGTGGGCATAGCTGATGGATGGGTTTGGGTGCGCTAGGTGAATGTTCTGGAAGTTCCACCCTCATCCATGGGAGGGGTAGAACATTAGAAGGTGAAGCAGGTGGGCTCAGAGATGACATCAGGGGCGCAGGGAGGTCACACCACCGGCCTTGGGGTACCCCGTCCAAGACCGTATAGACGGTCAGCCTTCTGAAGACCTCATAAGCTGAGGGATCTGGGTTGAAGCCCAGACTCTGCTACTTCTCTCTGGCCTCAGTTTCTTCCTCTGTAAAGTGGGAATGTTGGAATGAATGATCCTTTCAGCTCTAAAGCTGTGATCCTGAGGACAAATCCTGTCCTTTTCTCTCCTGCCTCTGACCTCAAAGCCAAACCCTCCATGGTTGGCACCCATTTGTATGGCAGAGCTTTTTAGAGCCATGTGGCTGGGTACCAGTGTAGATGGTGCCACCTGTTAGCTGGTGTAGGTAATCATAGTGACAGGAGGAGCTGTACCTGTTGTGTCTCTACAGACAAACTAGTGTGGCTGGCTAGGCTGGTGTAGATAGCCACATTGGTGTGAGTAAATGGGCCAGCGTAGAAGGTTATGCCAGTATAGATGGTTAGCATGGTACAGGCAGGTGTAGGCACATAATGTAGGAGAGTGGATAAAGTGTGAGACTTGCTAGGAAGACCTGGATTCAGATGCTGCTTCTGACACCAGCTGTGTGATGCTAAGGAAGTCCTTTCTCCCCTCTGAGCCTCAGTTTCCTCATCTGTGAAATGGGTTTATTAATACCTGTATTCCTGATCACCAGTGCTAACACCACCAGTGCTAACACCCGTGTATCTCAGCTATTAGGATTATCATGATGAGGATTCCAGGTGACTGGGCTGCTGTAGTCTGGAAGAGCCGCCAGCCAGCTCTGGGATGGCCTGGGCTCCTGGCGCCTCCCAACCGCTACTCCAGATTGCCAAACATTCTGCTTCTATGTCCCTAGCTGTTCAGCCTCTGGCCTCTGGCTGTGCCCTCCTGTGGCCTGGACTGAGCGGTGGGCAAGGGGGGAGTGGATCAGAACTGAGGGAGGAGGTTCTTAAATACTCAGGTTTTAAGAAATTGGGGTCTTCTGTTGTAAAAGGCATTCTAGGAAAAAATGAGCACATACAGACAGCAGACAGGTCAGAATGAGCAGGTGTAGACAGCACACAGGTCAGAGTTCTAGGAAAAAATGAGCATGTATAGATGGCAGAGAGGTCAGAATGAGCAGGTGTAGATAGCACACAGGTCAGAGTTCTAGAAAAAAAGTGAGCATGTATAGACAGCAGAGAGGTCAAAATGCTCAGACAGAATGGGCAGGTGTAGACAGCACACAGGTCAGAGTCCTAAGACAGTAAGCAGGTATAGACAGCAGAGGAGTAAGAATAGGGAGGCAGAGTGGGTAGATGTAGAGAGTGGACACGTAGAGTTCTGGAGTGGTTAGTCCCAGGAAATGAGGGGTCCATTGTGGGAAAATCCCATGGAATAGAGCGGAGTGGATAAATGTAGCCAGAGGAGGAAGGAGAGAATGTGGGGCAGGTGTGGATAGGAGACAGTGGAAATAGTTTGGACTTGGAATGGGGGGCTCTGGGTTCAGATCCCAGCTTTGATCCTTGCTGGCTGTGTAATCCTAAGTAAATCCTTTCTCCTCTGAGTCTCAGTTTCCTCATTTGTAGAATGGGGGTGATCATCCTGGCTTGGCACTAGCTGCCTTAGGGCAGCTGTTGTTAGGAATGTGGAAAATCCCATCAGGCTGTTCTTTTTTGGTCTAGATGGAAAATAGGGTAGAAAGCAAGAGGTCTAGATGCAGAGGTCCTGTGTTTTTGTGCTGTTTCCTAGCTGTGTGACCTTGGGCCAGTCGTCTGAAGCACAATTTCCTTCTCTGTAAAATTGGTTTGGTACCTGTAGCTTCAGGGGGATGTGATAGCTGTCTCCAGGTCTCTGCTGTCCCAGGGCAGAGGGCAGAACCAGGGGCAGCTTCAGAACAGCAAGTGGAGGCTTGAGGAACAGAAACCTTCCTAATTATGGGAACTGTCCCAAAGTGGGATGGACTGTTCCAGGAGGTAGTGACTTCCTGGTCACTAGTAATCATTAGAAGAGGCTGAATTTATGCCCACTTGTTGAGAGTGCTTGAGGAAAAGTTCAAGGTTCAGGCCTGGGTCAGAAGAGATGACCCTAAAGTGTCTTTCTAAATTTGTTTATTTATTTTTCTGTATTTCCATATCAGTCACATTTTTTTTCTTCTTTTCTTTTTTTGTGAAGCAGTTTGGGGTTAAGTGACTTGCCCAGAGCCACACAGGTAGTGAGTATTATGTGGCTGATGCTGGATTTGAACTCAGATCTCCTGACTCCAGGGCGGGTGCTCTATCTACTGCTCCACCTAGCTGCACCCCTCCCCCATATTAGTCATGTTGCAAAAGAAAACAGACCAAAAAAAAAACCTCAAGAAAAATGAAGTTAAAAAAAATATGCTTCGATCTGTATTCAGACAGCATCAGTCCTTTCTCTGGGGATGAATAGCATTTGTCATCATAAATCCTTCAGAGCTGTCTTGGGTCATTATATTGCTGAGAGTAGCTAAGTCATTCACAGCTGATCATCTTACAATTTTGCTGTTACTTTGTACCCAGCACATGTCACTTTGCATCAGTTTATGTAAGTCTTTCCAGGTTTTTCTGAAGCCTGCTTGCTCATCATTTCTTAGAGCACAATGGTATTTCATCACAATCATACACTGCGACTTGTTCAGCCATTCCCCAGTTGACGGGCATCCCCTCAATTCCCAGTTCTTTGCCACCAGAAAACAGCTGCTGTAAATATTTTTGTACATGTAAGCCCTTTTCCTTTTTGTTTTTTATCTCTTGGACACAGACCTAGTAGGTGTATTACTGGATCAATGCATGTCTTTATAGCCTTTTGAGCATAGTTCAAATTGCTCTCCAGAATGGTTGGATCAGTTTGCAACTCCACCGATAGTGCATTAGTGTCTCATTTTTCCCACATTCTCTCTACCATTTGTCGCTTTCCTTTTCTGTCCTATTAGCCAATCTAACAGGGATAAGGTACCTCAGAATTGTTTTAATTACATTTCTCCAATCAATAGTGATTTAGAACATTTTTTATATGACTATAGATAGCTTGGATTACTTTATCTAAAAACTGTTCATATCTTTTGGTCATTTATCAATTGGAGAATGGCTCTTATTTTTATAAATTTGACTCAGTTCTCTATATGTTTGAGAAATGAGGCCTTTATCAGAGAAACTTGCCTCAAAATTTTTTTTCACAGTTACTATTGCTAACTGTATTTCCTTCCGTCCTATCCCCCTCTATTTATTCTATTCTCTCTCTCTCTCATCACCCTGTCCCTCTTCAAAAGTATTTTGCTTCTGACTACCCTCTCCCCCAATTTGCCCTTCCTTCTATCACCTCCCCCTTCTCTTATCCCCTTCCCCCTCCTACTTTCCTGTAGGGTAAGATAAAATTTCTATATCCAATTGAATAATGTTCCCTCTTTGAGCCAGTTCTGATAAAAGTAAGGTTCACTCACTCCCCCTCCCCTCCCACCTCTTCCCCTCCACGGTAAAAGCTTTTTCTTGCCTCTTTTATGTGAGGTAATTGACCCCATTCTACCTCTCCCTTTTCCTTTCTCTCAGTACATTCCTTTCTCACTCCTTAAGTTTATTTTTTTAGATATCATCCCTTCATATTCAACTCACACCTGTGCCGTCTGTCTATATATGCTCCTTCTAACTGCCCTAATGATGAGAAAGTTCTTATGAGTCACAAGTCTCATCTTCCCATGCAGGAATGTAAACAGTTTAACCTTATCAAGTCCCTTATGATTTCTCTTTCCTGTTTACCTTTTTATGCTTCTCTTGAGTCTTGTATATGAAAGTC